CCCTTTGAGCCCCGGGCAAGGTGCACTGCCAGCAACTCGAGGCAGCCAGTGCAGTTGGGGCCCCGTCCAACCCCCTGACACTGCAAGCCCGTTGTACGTGGCCCCCCAGCCGGTGGTTGAGGCATCCGTGCAAACCACAGAATGCCTGGAGACCTGCTCCACCTGGAGGACGCAAGGTCTGACCACGGGGTGAAGGTTTAACGGCAGGCCGGTGTAACTTGGACCCGGAAGGTGCCACGTTGCCACGCCCACCTCGGGACCCGGCCATGGAGCCAGTGCTGCAGCGGTCTCATATGGAGTAGCCCCAGCGGCGTGACTGCCGCCGTAGCTGACATATGCCCCAGGAGCCTCTGAACTGTTTCAGTGGGACCGCCATCCTGCTCTTACTGAGTCCCCTCCATACCGGGAAAAGAGATCCTCTGCATCGGGGAGAGTTTGCTCTTTTCCCAGTTGACCCGAAGGCCCAACAGGCTGAGGTGTGAGAGCACCAAATCCCTATGTTCGCAGAACTGATCCTGAGACTCCTTCGTCGAGGTAGTTGAGAATGCGAATGCTCTGTTCTCTCAAGGGAACAAGGGGTACCTCCGCAACTTACGTGAAGACACGGGGCAACAGGGACAGCCCGGAGGGCAGGACATCGTACTGATATGCTTGTCCACCCAATGGTCTGTGGTGCGGAATGGTCGACACATGAAGTACGCGTCCTTCAGGTCGACTGCTGCAAACCAATCTCGGGGCCGTTGGTTCGTCCTCCCGATCCGCCCACTGCTGATCACTGGCGAGAGAGGAGGGTGAGTATGATACGCACTAGGTCGTCCACAACCCCCCGTCCCCTCTGGGGACCCAGAAATAGAGGAATTGCTCTTTGTCGAGAATTTGGGTGATGATAAGATGATAAGATGATAAGAATCTCCACCCGGCCCTCCTCCGGGGGAGGGAGTGGTGTGCTTACCGTCTCCTGAAGAGCACATCCCTCCACCTCTGGGTCGCCCGTCCCCGGGCTTCTTGCTCTCTCACTTGCCACCAGGTTTGGCGGGGGCCTGGACGGGCGGGGCGGCTGCCCTGCGACCGGTTCCCAGGCCCAGCCTTGCCGGAGGCCC